CTGCTTATCCCGCGGCCCGCCAGTGCCTAGTCTCCCATAGCCTGACAGACTGACACCCCTCACTTCTAATGCCACTTATTCAAAATAGACTTGCCAGGCTGAAAACCAACTTCTGCCCATAGGCCACAAAGTTTCTATCGCACTGTACATGTGCACCCTCACGTGGTATTTTGTGGAAGAGCCACACTCAAGGGGCCAAAGAGCCGCATGTGGCTCGCGATCCGCGGTTTGACGACCACTGGGATAGCACATACTAACCACAAACCAAAAATTGACAAGAGATATAAAAAAAATAAAGAAATCTAAGTATGACACTATTGAAAGTCAACAACATGCAAGAGAGAAAGCAAGGGAATAAAAACAAACTGGGAAGAACAACAAACACAAGTAGAAACCAATGAATAAAATGGCAATAACTACGTACCTATCAATAAATACTCTAAATCTAAATGGACTAAATGCTCCAATCAAAGAGATAGGGTGGCTGGATGGATAAAAAAGACCCATAGTATGTGGTCTATAGGAGACCCACTTTAGATTGAAAGAAACACACAGACTAAAGCTAAAGGGGTGGGGGAAAAAGCTATTTCATAAAAGTGGAAAATAAATGAAATAAAAATATGGTAGCGATACTTATGTCAGACAAAATAGACTTTAAACCAAGGGTTGTAACAAGTGACTAAGGCACTTCATAATGATAAAGGGATCAATCCAACAAGAGGACAAAATTCTTCTAACTGTCTATACCCAATGTGGGAGTTCCTGAATACATAAAGCAAATATTAACAGACATTAAGAAAGATATTGACAGTAATACAGTAATAGGAGGGGACTTTAACACCCCATTGACATCAATGGATAGATCAATCAGTCAGAAAATCAAAAAGGAAACAGTGGCTTTATTTTATTTTTTTCAACATAGACATTCATTCATGTTGCCTATAACATCTTTGTCAGGATTTTGTTACCAGAATTATGATAGACTTATTAAATGAGCTTGGAGCCCTTCCCGATTTGGCTCAGTGGATAGAGTGTCAGCCCATGGACTGAAGGGTCCCGGGTTCGATTCTGGTCACAGACACATACCTTGATTGCAGCCTCCTCCCCGGCCTGGGCCCTGGTCAGGGCTCATACAGGAGGCAACCAATCGATGTGTTTCTCTCACATCTATGTTCCTCTCTGTCTTTCCCTCTCTCTTCCACTATTCCTAAAAATCAATGGCAAAATATCCTCGGGTGAGGATTAACAAAAAACAAAAAGCCCTAGCTGGTTTGGCTCAGTGGATAGAGCGTTGGCCTGTGGACTGACGGGTACTATGGTCGATTCTGGTCAAGGGGCACATGCCCAGGTTGCAGGCTCAATCCTCAGTAGAGGGCATGCAGGAGGCAGCCAATCAATGACTCTCTTTCATCATTGATGTATCTATTTCCCTCTCCCTTCCTCTCTGAACCACATAAACAAAAACGATATATAAAAATCACATGATCATATCAATAGATGCAAAAAAATCATTTGAGAAAATCCAACATCCATTTGTGATTAAAAAAAATCTCAGCAAAATGGGTATATTGGGAACATATGTCAATGTAATAAAGGCCATATATGACAAACCCACAGCTAACATCATACTCAATGGTGAAGAGCTAAAAGCTTTTTGTTTTCTTTGTAAAATTTTTAAATATCTAAAAAAATTAAAAAATATATTTTTATTGATTTTAGAGTGAAAGGGAGAGGGAAAGAGAGATAGAAACATCAATGTTGAGAATCATTGATCGCTGCCTCCTGCACACCCCACACTGGGGATCAAGGCCGCAACCCAGGCATGTGCCTTGGCTGGAATTGAACCCAGGACCCTTCAGTCCTCGGGCTGACACTCTATCCACTGAACCAAACTGACTACGGCTAAAAGCTTTTTCTTTAAGATCATGAACAAGAGAAGGATGTCCACTTTCACCACTTTTATGCAACACAACCTTGGAAGTCCTAGCCACAGCAATCACACAAGAAAATGAAATAGAAGGCGTCCAAATTGGAAAGGAAGAAGTAAAACTGTCATTATCTGCAAGTGACTTAATACTATATATAGAAAACTCTAGGGAATATACTAAAAAACTATTAGAACTAATAAATGAATTCAGTGAAGTTGCAAGATACAAAAAAAGAAAAAGAAAAAAGAAATGCAGGAATGTGTTGCAATTTTATACAGCAAGTAGAGGCCCAGTGCATGAAATTCATGCACGGGTAGGGTCCCTAGGCCTGGCCAGCGATCAGGGCCCATCAGGTTTCTCATCTCCCTGCCTTCCTGAATCCTCCTTCCCTCACTGCCTGCTCACTGCCACTATTTGGGTCCCTGTCTCCTGCTTTCTCTTGCTCCCTCAGTGCCCTGACACAGGTTGCCTGCCATGTTCTGTGCCACCCCCTGGTGGTCAGTGCATGTCATAGTGAGTGACTGAACTCCTGGTCTCCTGGTTGAATTCCTGAGGGGACACTTTGCATATTAGTCTTTTATAAATAGATAGATAGATAACAAACTATCAGAAAGAGAAATTAAGAAGAGAATTCCATTTACAATTGCATAAAAAATAAAAATAAGATACCTACAAATAAATTTAACCAAGGATGTAAAAGACCTGCACTCAGAAAACTATGTAAGACATTGAAGAAGTGCACTGAAGAAGATACAAGGAAATGGAAGGGTATAGCACGCTCACAAATAGGAAGAATTAACATCATTAAAATGCCCATACTACCCAAAGCATTCTACAGATTCAATGCAATCCCTATCAAAATACCGTTGACATTCTTCACAAAATTAGAACAAGTACGCCTAAAATTTAAATGGAATCACAAAAGATCCTTTGGAGCCAAAACAATCCTGAAAGAAAAACAAAAATGAGGTATTAAGTTACCTGATATCAAACTATACTACAAAGCTACAGTAATCAAAACAGCATGCTATGGCATAAAAGGTCACATAGATCAATGCAACATAATAGAGAGCACAGAAATAAACCGACACCTCAGTTAATCTAACACAGTGGAGTCAAGAATATTCAATGTGGTGAAGACAGTCTCTTCGATAAATGTTGTTGGGAAAACTGGACAGATGCATGCAAAAGAATGAAGCTGGATTACTTTCTAATAACATATCCAACCATAAACTAAAAATGGATTAAAGACTTAAATGTAAGACCTGAAACCATAAACCACCTAGAAGAAAACATAGGCAGTAAACACTTTGACATTGCTCTTAATGATTTTGTGTGTGTAGGGGGCGGGGGGTATCTCCTCAGGGAAGGGAAAAGTTTTTGCACAGAAAAGAAAACAATCAACAAAAAAAGGCAACTCACTGAACAAGAGAACATATTTGCCAATGATACATCAACACCAAAAAAACCCAAACAACCGAATTTAAAAATGTGCAATGGACCTGATTAGACACTTATCCAAAGAGGACATACATATGGCTATTAGACATATGAAAAGATGCTCAACATCATGAACCATCTGGGAAAGCAAATTAAATTAAATTAAAACCACAATGATATATCTCCTCACCCCTGTCAGAATGGCTATCATCATTAAATCAAAAGACAAATGTTGGCAATGATGTAGAAAAGGGAATCCTTGTGCACTGTTGGTGAGATTGTAAATTGGTGCAGCCACTGTAGAAAACAGTACTGAGGGTCCTCAAAAAATTTAAAATAGAACTACTTTATGACCAAAAAATCAACTTATGGATATTTATCTAAAGGAATCCAAGACACTAATTTGAAAAGATGTATGCAGCCCTATGTTCATTGCACCATTATTACAAGAACCAAGAGATTGGAGCAGCCTAAGTGAACATCCATAGATTGATAAAGAATGAAAAAAGAAGATGTGGTACATATATAATGGAATATTACTCAATCATAAAAAGGAATGAAATCTTGCCACTTGCAACAACAGGGATAGGCCGAGAGGGTATTATTCTAAGTGAAATAAGACAAACAACAAAGGATTTCATTAATATGGGGAATTTACATAACAAATGAACAAGCAAAACAGAAACAAAATCACATAGAGAACAAATCATTGGTTGCCAGATGAAACGCGGTTTAGGGAAAAGGTGAAGAAATTAAGTACAAATTGCTAGTTATAGCCCTATGTGGTTTGGCTCAGTGGATAGAGCATCCACTTTTGGACTCAGAGTCCCAGCTTCGATTCCCAGTCAGGGCACATGCCTGGGTGCGGGTGATCCCCAGTAGTGGGTGTGCAGGAGACAGCCAATCAATGATTCTCATCATTGATGTTTTTGTCTCTCTCTCCCTCCCCCTTCCTCTCTGAAATCTATAAAAATATATATTTAAAAAATTGCCACTTATAAAAACAGTCAAGAGGAAGTAAAGTAGAGCATATGGGAAAGTCAATAACATTATAATAGGTAAGTATGGTGTCAGATGGGTACTAGATTTAATTGTGTGATCACTAGGTAAGTTACATAAATGTCCAGTCAGTATTGTTGTACTCCTGAAACTAATATCATATTACATGACAACTGAAATAGGAAAAAAGAGACGTCCAAGTTCCAGTACAGCCCAGTTGAGGCGAGTACTGTCCATTCAGAGGTAGAAATAACACGTTCACATATTAAGGCCTGGCAAGAGGGAGGATCAGAATACTGGTTTCTCAATTCTCTGCTAGCCTTTTTGCCTGCAGTGTTTGGTAAATATGAGCCCATTTCTTCAAGCCAATCATCTGTGGAGATTAGAACATCTGCGCCAATAGGCGGGGGATCAAACATCCTGCACCGGGCAGGACTGCAAGGGAGGTCGCAGGTTGGCATTAAGCCCAAAGACTGTGTGTGGTCAGAAAGGCTGGCCCAGGGTCCATCACCTGCAGCTTCCCTACTGCCAGGAAACAGTCCCGCCCTGAGCCAGCCGCGCAAGCGCAGGGGTGCAAAAAAGACCACGCCCACGTCCCCAAGTGAGCACGCGCAGTGGCGCGGGGCGTGGCAGCGCTGCACGCTCCTCTGGGGATGGAGTGGAGCCGGCCTTTTAAGCTCCGCGACCTTATCTCTGATACCTCAGCCGCCTGGCCTGAAGCGAAGCTGTCTTGTCGGGGAAGAGAGTGGTCACGGTGTCGCGTGGTAACAAAGCTTAGGACAGGAGAACCTCCATGAGAAAGGACGTCCTCCGGTGTAAGTGCTAACCAGTGGCTGTTTGCGGAGGGGCGGGGGGCGTCGGGAGCGGGAAAAACCTTTGCGGCATGGAGGGGCGGAGCTAACGTGTGATTGATAGGCGAGAAACCTGTGCAAGGGCGAATGGGAGGTGAGTGAGGGCGGGATCTGCAGTTGAACTGGAGCGGTGCTTTGGAGTAATAATAACTAACACGCACCAGGGACTTCAGTAACCCATCTGTGCTAACCGCTTTTTATAAGTTACTTATTTAGTGGTCACTGCAGCCTATGGAAATGCAGTTTTATCTGTCTCTCCTTTATGCGCGGGGAAACTGAGGGTTAGGGCTATTAACTTAGGCAAGAATACAGCTGGGGTCCCAAATTTAGAAGCCTGACCTCAGAGCCCATACTGTTAATGGCTCTGCCCTTCAGAAAAGCAAGGTGGAGTGGGGTCCAGTCAAGAAGGTTCGGTTGAATGGAATTGACCAGATTGTTGGAGGATGTGCAATGAAAAGTGGAAAAAACACCAAGTAGCAGGTTTTTCCTACAGGATGTGAGCTCTGAGGATGGAGGTGGGAGGCCTGGCCATGTCCCCTGCTGTGGGAGCATTGCAGCCCCGCTGGTGTTGTGCCTGGATTAACTGTAGGTGCAGAAAAGGTTTTCTTTTGTGGCTGTGTTGTCTCCCAGGTGTGTGAAGTTAAAGCATTTTAGGGGCTTAAAATGGGGATTGTGCTTTTAAATTGTTTCTGTCTTCTCTGGCTGCCATAACAAAACGCCATACATTGGGTGGCTTAAACAACAGAGTATTTTGTTTGTTTGTTTTTGTTGTATTTTAATTCTCACCTGAGGATATTTCCCCATTGATTTCTAGAGAGAGTGGAAAGTAAGTAGGAGAGGGGGGAGAGAGAAACATCGTGGGAGAGAAACATAGATTGGTTGCCTCCCGCCCCTACCAGGACCGGGGAACTTGCACCCCAGGTACCCTTGACCAGGACCCTTGGATCTGCAAGCTGATGCTCTAACCAGGGCCAGAGTTCTTTTCTTTTCTTTTTCTTTTTCCTTACAGATCTAGAAATTGGGAAGTCGAAGATTAAGGTTCCAGCCTAGTCTGTTCCCTGTCCAGGACCCTTTTCCTGTCTTGCAGAAGGTCGGTCCCTTTTTTACTAGTACTTGTCCTCACATGGCTGGTAAGGAGAGAGCTCTCTCTTACTCCTAGAAGGCCACCAATCTTAATAAGGATTAGGACCCACTGTTATACCTTAATTTAATCTTAATTACCCTTTTCATTTTATGTTAATTGCCTCCTAAAAGCCCTCCCTCCAAATAAAATAGAGTCTCATGTTGGGGCTTAGGGCTTTAACACATGAATTTGAGGGACGGTGGGACACAGTGCAGTCTGTAGCAATAGTTTATACCCAAGTAAATAGCAAGTGATACTTGAAGACTGAAGAAAATGAACACTTTCAAAACTCACACTTTCACATAACGTCTTATTACCTCATTTAATGAGCATGAGGTTTGTGCCTTAGCACTGGTGGGGAATTCTAGGGAGAACTTGTGTGGAAGGTCATGGTTGTCCTTCAGGCAGCCAATCTGAAGAGGTCAGAAAAAGCTACACCAAGCATTCTTAAAGCACACATAGTGTATCTACTATTTGTGGATTTGTAGATCCTTCTTTAACTCTGACTTAGCTTGTGCTGTTTCTGGAAAAATGAGATCCATAATTACCATCCATGGGGAGTGAAATAATAATTACTTTTTCTTTTCTTTTAATCCTCCCCCAAGGATATTTTTCCATTGATTTTTAGAGAAAGTGGAAGAGAGAGGGAAAGACAGAGAAATATCGATGTCAGAGAAACATATCGATGGGTTGCCTCCTGCACATGCCCCAACCAGTGCCTGGGCCGGGGAAGAGCCTGCAACTGAGGTATGTGCCCTTGACTGGAATCAAACCTGGGACCCTTTGGTCCACACGCTGGCGCTCTATCCACTGAGCCAAACCAGCTAGGGCAATAATTACTTTTTTTCTGTATTGTTTCCTGTTGTTATTCCTAAGTCTGGTAAACAAGTCTATTTTCACCTTACCCTGGTGAGAGAAGAATGAGGAAATACAAAGCTTAGGAGCTTGAAGGTCTGGCAGATGTGCGTTCAAATCTTGGATTCAGGCAATTGCTATGTGACTATCGGCATGTCGCTTAACCTTTTGTTTTAAAAACAAATTTTTTATTGATTTCAGAGAGGAAGGGAAAGGGAGAGAAAATCATTGATCGCTGCCTTCTGCACACCTCCTACTGTGGATGGAACCTGCAACCCAGACATGTGCCCTGATCGTGATTTGAATCGTGACTCCTAGTGTCATAGATCAATACCCAACCACTGAGCCACACCAAGTGGGCAAGTCATTTAATCTTTCTGTCAGTTTCTTCATCTATAAAATAGAGCTAGTAATAATACTGACCACATGGTTGTTGTGAGGTTATATGAAAACAGTTTGTAACGACTAAAGAACTGGCCTTGCACTAGATATTTCAGTTATGGGACATCCTCCACTGACACCTCTGAAGAGGTTTCTATAACAGAAACCTCCACCTACAGCCCCCATGTGAAGCTTGCTGTATATTCATCAAATTTTTATTGAATCCCCGCTACTTGTCACAGCACCTGGCATGCTGAGTGCTAGGGGCAGGGAAGAACAAGACAGACAAAGTTCTTTCTTTTATGCAGCTTATACTGTAGTGGAGAGGACTAAATGAATTGAGTTGAGTGCTAAGAACTATGAAGAAACTAAATGGAGGGTAATGACAGCAAAGAGTGACTTTCTGTAGAGCGGCCTGCGTGTGTGCATGCACACGTATTTGGAGGGAGGGTGATTGACCACTGTAGGGGGTGTCTGTAAAATAAGGTTATGTACATTAACCTGTGCCATGTCAGAAAAACTGTAATTGTACTTGTAATTCTCTGCCTGTGTGTCATGATTCTATTGACAGGTCTCCCATCAGGATAAAGCAGCATTTGTCATGCACATACCGCCCTGTGCAGAAGTGAGGGAAGACTGCTGCAGAAGTGAATACAGGCAACATCTTTGATCCCAGGACACAGGTCTTTGAGAGGAAATCTCCAAGCCTCTCAAGGAGGCATTAGAAGGCTATCCAGGCAGCAAAAGTACCTCAGGTGAAATGCAGGGAGTTTCTGTATAAGGGCTTTTGCATTCTGCATTCTTCTAGAGCCCTTTGTGATAAATGTCGCTGGGTGGATTGCATGATTTGGTGTGGCTTCATGGGGATATGCACATGTTGGAGAGAACATGATCTCTTCTTGCCAAATAATGTAGAGCCTAAGGAGAAAATCCGTAATCAGTATTGAGACTGCTCTTAAGAACTGTTCTAGATTTCAAGCCGGTTCTTCCTGGCTCATCAGAGAACTACCAGATATTTTTCTCCCCTTAGGATCATGGCTGATAAAAACCAGGAGATCGGTGGCATCCATTTCCCTTTTCCCTTCACACCCTATTCCATCCAGATAGACTTCATGGCAGTGCTGTACCAGGTGTTGGAGGATGGCAAGATTGGGATATTTGAGAGTCCAATTGGCACTGTAAGTATGAACAGTTGCCCCAAGAGGGCTCTTGGGAGACCTTGATTACAACTAGTCAGAGGTTTATTTGCCTCTGCAGAGATTTTCATGGTTTGGAGTTGGGCAAAGTAGTTTTCTCAGTTTACCTTTCTGAGTAATGCTCACTTCCCTCTATTAAATTGTTAAACACAACCCCGGGTTCTAAGGAAAATTCGGCTACAGGCAAAGGAGAATTTGAATGGCAGTGGTTCTCCTTTAGGGAGCAACATAGAAATTTATTGCCCTGCCAGGTTGGGCTCAGTTGGTTGAGCATTGTCCCATGTACCAGGAGGTTACTGGTTTGATTCCCGGTCAGGGCACATGCCTGGTTTGTGGGTTGAACCCCAGTAGGGGCATGCAGAAGATAGCTGATCAATGTTTCTTTCTCATCAATGTTTCTCTCTCTCCCTCTCCATTCCTCTCTCTAAAGTAAATGAAAACATTTTTTTAAAAAAAGCCAAATTTATCAAATTTGGCGCGATGGGCTGGTGCTTTTAATTCTTTTGTCTTTCTTAAAAAATGTACTTTTCTCATAGTACATTTTGAAATTATAAGCTATGTGCTCTTGTTTCTTGGTTTGTGGATTTTAGTGATTGGTACCTTCCTCTTGTGATGGATAACATGTAGCTTTCTTACTATCCCTTTTCCCTGCCACTCCTGATGTAATTAGCTGTTTTTAGTCTCTGCTAAGGCATTATACTATGATTGTTTTTTCATGGAATAATGTTATTTTTCTAGAGTTAATAATTGCCTTTTAAAAGCTTGTTTAGTTTTTAATATGCTTATGCTAATTCCACACACATCATCCAGTAGTCTCTCAATATGATACAGATTTTCACATTGTCCAAAACTACAGTTGGCCCTTGTTTGTGGGTCCTGCACCCATGTGTTCAACCAACTCCAGATCAAAAATATTGGGGGGAAAAAGCTACCTTGTTGCTGACATGTACTATGTAGTTAGACCTATGACAGTTGCTGAACATGTAGAGACTTTTTTCTTATTATTATTCCCTAAACAATATAGTATAGCAATTATTTATATAACATTTACATTATATTATCATAAGTAATCTAGACATGATTTAAAGTATATGGGAGGATGTGCATAGGTTACGTGCAAAAACTAAGTCATTTATCTACACTAATAAAAGAGAAAGATGCTAATTGACCGTACCTTCACTATACCCACCAGCCAGAGTTACTATGCAGATTAACCCAACAAAGATGGCGGTTATATTTGCATATCCAGGTGGGGCGGACAGCGTCAGACGCTGCCAGTCGGTCCGGGCCCCAGAATGGGACCCGGGACACAGGCCGGGCAGCGCCAGAAGCCACCTGCGGGGTTCGGGCCCCAGATCGAGGATGGGGGAGATGGGCAGGCAGCGCCAGACGCAGCCTGTGGGGTCTGGGCCCCGGATTGGGGATGTGGGGGAGGCGGGGCGGGCAGCACCAGAGACCACCCCTGTGGTCCGGGCCCCAGATCGGGACCTGGGAAGGTGGGTGGGAAGCGCCAGAAGCCACCCACAGGGTCCGGGTCCCAGACCGGGGAAAGGGGGGATTGTGCAGGCAGCACCAGATGCCACCCGGGGAGGCAGGGCGGGTAGCGCCAGACACCGCCTGCGGGGTTCAGGCCCCAGGTCGGGGACGGACGAGACGGGGCAGGCAGCGCCAGACGCCACCACGGGGTCCAGTAGAGCGAGAAAACTGGTGGCTTATAGGGCGTGGCTCCCTCTGTCATCCAGCTTCCTCATCACAGCTGTGAAAACTGAGAGCAGGGAGGAGGAAGTCCCACCCCCACAGAATTAGCCAGAATCAGCCATTGGTCACACAGCTCTCAGCGGCCTGACAGCCAGGACTCTCATTCACCTGCGTCTCAGACCGTGACAGTAGAGAGGTGGGACTATGTCCAAAGAAGAACTGTTGATACAAGGTAGCTCAGCAAACATGGAGTACATGAGGTTGCAATTCTCGAACACAGTTGTGGTGGAATGACTGTTCGATGTGAATTTTGCCTATCCCTAAATTTCTCTGTTGAAAAACCATCTGATGGTAAATTTACTGGATGTTGTAGCAAAGGGAAAGTCTGTCCAAATGATATACATTTTCCAGATTACCCGGCATATTTAAAAAGATTAATGACAAATGAGGATTCTGACCATAAAAATTTCATGAAAAATATTCGATCCAAAGATAGTTCTTTTGCGTTTGCTTCCATGGGTGCAAATATTGCATCGCTATCAGGGTATGGGCCATACTATTTTAGAATACACAGACAAGTTTATCACCGTACTGGAACTTTACATCTTTTGGATGGTGTTTCTCAGAAGTTTGCTCAACTCTATATTTTGGATACAGCCGAAGCTACAAGTAAAAGATTAGCAATGCCAGAAAATCAGGGCTGCTTAGAAAGACTCATGATCAACATCAACAACCTCATGCATGAAACAAATGAATTAACAAAATCTTACAAGATGCTACATGAGGTAGAAGAGGAAGCCCAATCTGAAGCAGCGGCAAAAGGTATTGCTCCCACTGCAGTAACAATGGCAATTAAATACGATCGTAACAGTGACCCAGGTAGATATAATTCTCCTTGTGTAACTGAGGTTGCTGTCATGTTCAGAAACAAAGATGGAGAACCTCCTTTTGAAAGGGACTTGCTCATTCATTGTAAACCAGATCCCAGTAATCCAAGTGCCACTAAAATGAAACAAATCAGTATCCTGTTTCCTACATTAGATGCAATGACATATTCTATTCTTTTTCCTCATGGTGAAAAAGGCTGGGGAACAGATATTGCATTAATACTTAGAGACAACAGTGTAATCAACAGTAATACTAGGCGAAATGTAAGGACACGAGTCAAACAAATGCAGTATTATGATTTCATCTCTGTGAGGGACACGTTCAATCCTATTTTAAATGCAGGAAAATTAACTCAACAGTTTATTGTGGATTCGTATTCAAAAATGGAGGCCAATCGGATAAATTTCATCAAAGCAAACCAATCTAAGTTGAGAGTTGAAAAATATAGTGGTTTGATGGATTATCTCAAATCTAGATCTGAAAATGACCATGTGCCAATTGGTAAAATGATAATACTTCCATCATCTTTTGAGGGTAGTCCCAGAAATATGCAGCAGCGATATCAGGATGCTATGGCAATTGTAACGAAGTATGGCAAGCCCAATTTATTTACAACCATGACATGCAGCCCAAATGGGCAGATATCACAAACAATTTACAATGCTGGCAAAAAGTTGAAAACGGACCTGACTTGGTAGCCAGAGTTTTTAATATTAAGCTGAGCGCTCTTTTAAATGATATATGTAAATTCCATTTATTTGGCAAAGTAATAGCTAAGATTCATGTCATTGAATTTCAGAAATGCGGACTGCCTCACGCTCACATATTATTGATATTAGATAGTGAGTCCAAATTACATTCAGAAGATGACATTGACCATATAGTTAAGGCAGAAATTCCAGATGAGGACCAGTTTCCTCACTTTTTCAAATTGTAAAATCAAATATGGTACATGGACCACGTGGAATACAAAATCCAAATAGTCCATGTATGGAAAATGGAAAATATTCAAAGGGATATCCAAAAGAATTTCAAAATGTGACCATTGGAAATATTGATGGATATCCCAAATACAAACGAAGATCTGGTTGTACCATTTCTGTTGGAAATAAAATTGTCGATAATACTTGGATTGCCCCTTATAACCCGTATTTGTGCCTCAAATATAACTGTCATATAAATGTTGAAGTGTGTGCGTCAATTAGAAGTGCCAAATATCTATTTAAATACATATATAAAGGGCATGCTTGTGCAAATATTCAAATTTCTGAAAAAAATAGTATAAATCATGACGAAGTACAGGATTTCATTGATTCCAGGTATGTGAGCTCTCCTGAGGCTGTTTGTAGACTTTTTGGAATTCAAATGCATGACCAATCTCATGCAATCACAAGATTAGCTATTCATTTGCCAAATGATCAGAATTTGTATTTTCATGCCGATGATTTTGCTGAAGTTTTGGGTAGGGCTAAAAGGCATAAGTCGACTTTGATGGCTTGGTTCTTATTTAATAGAGAAGACTCTGAAGCACATAATTATGATTTTGGGAGATTCCACAGCATTATGTGTTTAATAATTCTTTGTGGACAGAACACCGAAATGGTGGGAATAAAGTATTAGGTAGACTGTTCACTGTGAGCTTTAGAGAACCAGAAGGATAATACCTTAGACTTTTGCTTCTGCATATAAAAGTTGCGATAAGTTTTGAGGATCTGCGAACTGTAGGAGGTTTAACTTATGATACATTTCATGAAGCTGCTAAACACCGAGGATTATTACTTGACAACAGTATCTGGAAAGATACGACTGACGATGCAATCATCCTTAATATGCCCAAACAACTATGGCAACTTTTTGCATGCATATGTGTGTTTGGATGTCCTCCTGCTCAGACAAATTATAGGATGAGAATAAATCTCATTTTATTGAAGATTTCTGTTGGAAATTACACTGAAGAGAAGGTGCCTGTGTGAACTGTGAAATGCATGCCCTTAACGAAATTCAGGAGGTATTCACATTGCATGGAATGAAATGTTCACATTTCAAACTTCTGGACTATCCTTTATTAATGAATGCAAATACATGTGATGAATCGTATGAGCCATCAAAGAGCAAACTGTACACCCCAAATGCTTTTTCTTGGATGGTCCAGGTGGTAGTGGAAAAACATATCTGTATAAAGTTTTAACACATTATATTAGAGGTTGTGGTGGTACTCTTTTGCCCACAACATCTACAGGAATTGCTGCAAATGTACTTCTTGGTGGAAGAACCTTTCATTCCACATACAAATTACCCATTCCATTAAATGAAACTTTAATTTCTAGACTTGATATAAAGAATCAAGCTGCTAAAATCATTAAAAGGTCCCAACTTCTTACTATTGATGAATGCACCATGGCATCCAGTCATGCTATAATCGCCATAGACAGATTACTAAGAGAAATTATGAATTTGAATATTGCATTTGGTTGGGAAATTCTCCTTCTCGGAGGGGATTTTCGACAATGTCTCAGTACTGTACCACATGCTATGCGATCGGCCATAGTATACTCAAGTTTAAAGTACTGTGATGATTGGGGATGTTTTAGAAAGTTGTCTCTTAAAACAAATATGAGATCAGAGGATTCCGCTTATAGTGAATGGTTAGTAAAACTTGGAGATGGCAAACTTGATAGCAGTTTTCATTTAGGAATGGATATTATTGAAATCCCCCACGAAATGATTTGTAATGGATCTATTATTGAAGCCACCTTTGGAAATAGTATATCTATAGATAATATTAAAAATATATCTAAACATGCAATTCTTTGTCCAAAAAATGAGGATGTTCAAAAATTAAATGAAGAAATTTTGGATATACTTGATGGAGAGTTTCACAGATATTTGAGTGATGATTCTGTTGACTCAACAGATGATACTGAAAAGGAAAATTTTCGCATTAAATTTCTTAATAGTATTACTCCTTCTGGAATGCCCGGTCTTAAATTAAAATTGGAAGTGGGTGCAATCATCATGCTATTGAGAAATCGTAATACTAAATGGGGTCTTTGTAATGGTACCAGATTTATTATCAAAAGATTACAACCTAACATTATCGAAGCTGAAGTATTAACAGGATCTGTAGAGGGAGAGGTTGTTCTGATTCCAAGAATTGATTTGTCCCCATCTGACACTGGCCTCCCATTTAAATTAATTCAACGACAGTTTCTCATGATGCCAGCATTTGCAATGACTATTAATAAATCACAAGGACAAACTCTAGACAGAGTAGGAATATTCCTACCTGAACCCATTTTCGCACATGGGCAATTATATGTTGCTTACTCTCAAGTTTGAAGAGCGTGTGACATTAAAGTTAAAGTTGTAAATACTTTATCCCAGGGGAAATTAGTCAAGCACTCTGAAAATGTTTTCACTCTTAATGTGGTATATGGGGAGATATTAGAATAAGTTTAATCACTTTATCAGTCATTATTTGCATCAATATTGTTTTGATATCATGAATTTGTTATTATTTATTAATAAAATTATGTATTATTTTCATATACAATGTACTCATTTCCTTTTGTCTCTCACACTTTTATTATAGAGAAAGGGCAAATAACAATATTAAAATATTTCCTCTAATTAATTCCTTTTCAATGTGTACGAATTTCATGCACCGGGCCACAATTCTAATCTAACAAATGAGAAACATGCAAATTGACCGAACCTCCGCTATGCGGCAAGCCACGCCCACCAGCCAATCAGAGCGATTACATGCAAATTAACCCAACCAAGATGGCAGCTGGCAGCCACGGA